CCAACATTAAGGTTAGCTATAACCTATTTTTTTCTCGTGTTATTTGATATAGGATTTGGTCTTGTTGTCTAGGGATTATGATTTTTAAGGTTTTGATGCTGCGAGTTGCTTTGCTGGTCTAGATGCTTGTATACGCTCTTTTCTGATGATGATGATGGTGATGATTTTCGCGTGCATGTGGAAACCAGCGACGAGGTCTTTTCCATAGAGATACATCAACAAGACATTTGTTTTCATGGTGATGAGACTAGAAATCAATCTTCTCTCGAGGAACGCCAGTACCATAATCCAACACCGACTCCAAAATACTCATATATTTAGGAAAATGCTATGGCAGGATCAATCCCCCCCCCCCCTCTTTGGCGAAATCAAATTTCATATCAAAGGGAGCAACAAACTAAGTCATTTGAAAGCAGAAGAGAAGAGAAAACTCGATTCTGACCTTTTGATTTAGGCCATTGAAGAACACCTGACCCGAACTCATATCCTATTTGGAGATGATTTGCAACACTGTCCTCGAGCGGCAGGTGAAGAAATGAAGAGTTGAAGTAGCCATGGGGCCGAAGGTGGGAGAAATCAAGCTCCCAGACATGCATTTCACTCCAAAAATGTATAACTATGTTTTCATCGTAGAGACATTCAGTACAAAGTATAAGGGGTGGGTTTTTGATTGAGGAAAGAATAAGAAGATAAGGGTTTCAAGTTTTTTCCTATTTGGGAATTGCATTTTAGAAGAAGTGATGTGCACTAACATTTGAAATGGAAGATACTGACTACTGGTGTAAAAAATATGGAACTAAGCACCCACAATAACTGACATAACTTATGTAATGCACATACATTCATGTTGCCTACACACTCACAATACCTAATTCAAGACTAAAGAAATCACAACAACCATATCACTTGTTGTTGGAAAAAATCTGTCTCAATGAGACACAGTATTGTCATACCTAATTTTTAGTTGGTTGGCAAATATCTCCACTAACCACCCAATGCATGGCTGGTTCTCCAATTTAAATTGTGTAACTTATGAAACATCAGATTAACTTGCATACTTGGGAATGCCTATTTCCAACCGGATGTTGACTATCGTGGATTTCGATCCCAGTGGGGAAAGGGTGGTGGCTAAGGCAAGGAAAATTGTTGGCCTCCAGATGGAAACTAACCCTTGTTAACAATTGCCTAACTAACATCCCCATGTATTTGATGGGATTTTACCTCCTACAAGATGGGGTGAATGATAAAATGGATAAGGTGTGATCTCATTTCTTTTGGTAAAAAGGAAAGGGGTAAAACATACCATATCGTAAATTGGGTGACCATTAATGATTGCTTAACGAACATTCCTATGTTCATCATGGGTTTCTACCTCCTCCAGGATGGTAATCATAAACAACTAGATAGGGTGAGATCCAGATTCTTCTAGGCAAAGGAGCTAGGGAAACAAAAATACCATATGTTTAAGTGGTCGGTTATTTATTTACCAAAGGAAATGGGTGGTCTTGGTGTGATCAATTCCAAAATCATGAATTGGTGTTTGATCACGAAATGGGCATGGAAGATTATTATTGTCCAGGGTGGCCTCTGGCTAGACATTTTCAAAAGAAAATACCTTGTTGAGGGGGGCACGGAGTTTAGGAAAAATGTGAAGTTGTCCCAATTTGCAAAGAGGGTTCGAAAAGTGCAATTTTTATTGCGCCTAGGGAGAAGTTTGAGATTAGAAAAGGTAGGATACCGTGCTTTTGCTTAGAGATGTGGTGTGGGGAGGCGCTCCTTAGTGATTTGTTCCTTAGGCTTTTTGCCATTGCAGAAAACCAAAATGCTAAAGTGGCGGATGTGTGGGTGCAAGGTTGATGGGCACCTACAATTAGGCGGCTGTCGGGTCCCAAGAAGCACAGGAGTGGGAGGGGCTTAGCAGCGCCATCGCTGATACTGGAATCACCACTTGGCAAGACTTGTTCGAATGGCGCCTAGAGCAATCCGGAAGCTTTTGTATTGGTTCCCTCTACAAAGACATTTTTCGTTCAACAACTCCATGTAATTTAAGTGGGAATTGGGAAGCAAGAATTCCGTCCAAAACTAAAAATTTCCTTTGGCAAGTAGCTAGAGGTAGGATCCCAAGTGGGGACCAGCTGCGTAAAGGGCATGGTTCTGACGATGGAAAATGTGTCTGGTGTGGGGAGGATGGGAATTGTGATCATATTCTATTTTGGTGCATTGTTGCTAGATTTGCTTGGAGTGTTCTCGGAGATGCCATAGGATGTAGGTTGAATCCTAGCAACTTTGCCGGCCTATATCGCCTAATTAACACCACGCGGAGGAAGGACTGTAGACTAACTTGGGTTGGCTTCGCTGTGCTAGCATGGACTCTTTGGACTACGCGTAATAAAGGTTTGATTAAGTGAAGTTTTTCTAGCATCCGACTGACTTGATGTATAAATTGGTGATCATTTTGCGGCTATGGAAGCTACTAGCAAGAACAGCGGAGCGACTCGCCGACAGTCTACACGCAAGATGTGCTGAGCTCTGTCGACCGCGACGTGTGGGGACATCACCGACCAGGGAGCTGCCCTCGTCCTCTTCATATGTTTAGGTTTGGAGTTGGTGCACTTCTCTCTTGGGTGCTTGTCTAGCGCTGCATCGCTTTTTTGGGTCACTAATGACCTTGTATATTCTCTAACATACCATGGTTTCATGGTTGTGCACCTATTTGAACTGCCGCTTCTTTTCTTTGTTGAACCTTTAAGGGCCTCATGTTTAAGGCCGGGCATGATGCCTCCGCTCTAAAGAAATATAAATTGGGCTGTCATTTGCTCATGAAAATAAATCAAAGGGTTAGGCATAATCAACACTAAGATAATGAATTGGTGTCTCATAGCCAAGTGTGCATGAAAAATCCTTACCAACGAGGGAGGGTTATAGCCAACTATCTTTAAAAATAAATACTTGACAAATGGGGGCACTTCGGTTCATGTCAACGAAGGAGGGTTTGCCAAGGTTGTGGGAAAAGTCCAACATCTTTTATGATTAGGAACAAGTTTCCAGATCTACAATGGGCAATTGGCCCAATTTTGGATGGATGTTTTGTGCCAAGATTGCCTGCTAGGAGAATGCCACCCTAGCCTTTTTTGACCACCTCGCAGCCTGAAGCCTCGGTGGCCACTTGTTGGAATGGCACATATGTTGAAATCCACTATTCAATCAGGCCCTAGGGCAACCAGAGAGAGGAGTGGAGCGACCTACGCCTGGACCTTTGTAGGAGCGAAAGTATGTCTAGAGGGGGAGGGGGTGATTAGACTACTTGACCAAATAAAAATCTAGCCTTTTCCCAATTTTAAGTGTTGGCAGATTTTAGCAACTTAGCACAAGTCAAGCAGTCAACCTACACATGCAAGTCTAAGAGTATAGCAGCGGAATGTAAAACATTTGCATATGAAGGTAAAGGGAGGAGTTTGGAGGGAGCAAATGTGATGTAGACACGGAGATTTTTGGCGTGGTTTCGATAGGTGGTGCTATCGTACATCCATGTTGATGGAGACTTCAACCCACGAAGGGTAACGGTTGCGCGCGTCCATGAAGGGCTCCATCCACGAAGGGTCCACGAAGAAGCAACCTTGTCTATCCCACCATGGCCATCGCCCACAAAGGACTTGCCTCACTATGGTAGTTCTTCACGAAGTAGGCGATCTCCTTGCCCATACAAACTCCTTGGTTCAACTCCACAATCTTGACGGAGGCTCCCAAGTGATACCTAATCAATCTAGGAGAAACCACTCTCCAAAAGGTAATAGATGGTGTGTTCATGATGAACTCCTTGCTCTTGTGCTTCAAATGATAGTCTCCCCAACACTCAACTCTCTCTCACGGATTTGGATTTGGTAGAAACAAGATTTGAGTGGAAGCAACTTGGAGAAGGCTAGAGATCAATATTTATGTGGTTGGAATGGAATATCTTGATCTCAACACATGAGTAGGTGGTTCTCTCTCAGAAAATATATATTGGAAGTGTAGGCATGTTCTGATGGCTCTCTCCACGAATGAAGAGTAGGTGGAGGGGTATATATAGCCTCCACACAAAATCTAACCGTTACACACAATTTACCAAACTCGGCGGGATCGAATCAGAAAACTCGGTCAGACCGATTTAGTTCAAAATGTGAATGTTAGGCTTTTCGGTGGGACAGACATGTCAACTTGGTGGGACTGATTTCATTAGGGTTAGGGCATAACGTAATCTTGGTGAGA